TGCCCAGGTCAACTGGCTTCAGTCAATTACGGGCAGGCATTTTGAAGGATACCAAGCAGAGAACCCTTAAATGGTGTGAAGTTTGCAGAAATTTTGCGTAAACTGCTTTTACTGCAGCGTCTACAAAATTTATGGAAAATCGATTACTTGAACAATAAACGCATCATGTCTTGTGGTAATTTCTACGTTCGGCTATCGTTTGAACTGGTGAACTCTATGGATTATCAATTTCCAGTATTCACGTGAATGGTCTTTCTTCTGCCGTTCCACAATTTAAACACAGTTTTTCTGACTTTCGTCGCTTATCACAGGATTGTGAAGAAACGTACAGTGAATTTCGTTCCCTGTTACGAGGTGGAGTGGAAACGATTAGGTAAGCCTATAATGGTTTTGTGGCTTTACGGAGTGTGCGTATGACAGTTGTGTTGTTAAAAGTCTTAATTGATCATGTATGCTCACCCCCTCTGTCCCTCGCGAAATCCATGAGTCAAACAGACTGCCCTCTCTCAGGACGTTCTTTCTTGGTAGGATCCTAGTTTTCGTAATCCGTTTCATTACTGTTCCATGCTTTGTCCAACGTTCCGTTTCGCAACTTACAAGCTATTTAGTTATATGGTTTCAAGCAATGAGTTATATGGTGTTTGAAAATAATCTTGAGTGCGCGATTAACAGTGACTAATAGTGACAATTCTGAAGCCTTTAGATTCAGGCCAATTATGTTGAGCGTTTTGTTTATCTGCCAAACAAGAAGAGACATACTAACCACACCCTCACCTTCCTGGTTGTCAGCGATTTGATTGGGCATTGAGTCGTCTTGGGCAGCTTAAAGATTTGATTTCGTATGAGGCGTGTAATCCGATGAACCGGATACCGACCCCAATAGACCGATTTTCCCACACTGTCCGCCGCCTTGTGGGTCAAGGTTTAGCTGACCGAATGCTCCGGTTGTGAATGTCCCGTCTTGGCCTGGGAAATCGTGGTGGTATTCCGTACACAAAAAAATCATGTACTGACTTGTTTACTTTAGTAATTTCTTGCACCATTATTTGTTCTGCATACAGTTCGGACTCAGACAAATGGGAAATATGACAATGAAAACACTATTTTCCCTGTCACAGATTTGAATAAAGAAGTCAGAAACACTGACTTGCACGATGTATCCACAGTCATTTGTCAGACAATGGAGGAATTTACACATCGGGTTACCTCTTTGAACTATTACAACTTCTATTCCTATGCATGTCAAACGTTAGATTTTTCTGCGTTGGGCAGGGATATCGGCAGAGAGCTGCAGTCGCCATGGACGGTGCGCTCTGACCGGTTCTTGCGGATATTTTTCTTGGCCACCTAGAAGAAGA